ACCCAAGCTGGTGATGGCCTACATAGTTCTTTCACACCCCCTGGAACTACAGATTAACTTTTAAATACACATCATCTTCTTCCCTGCATCCTAGATGTGGATGGTTTACTCCTTGAGAAAACTTGAACATAGTACCAGGGAGGATAGCTAGGGAGCCAGCAGGTCTATAAAATAGATCCTGATAAATAACCAATCAAACATGTTGTTATCTTATTCTACATAACTCCTGGACAGGAGAGTATGTAGTTCTTTTGGTACAGTTTGGGTCTTTCAGGCTCAGTTGGTTTCTCCTTTTATTCCTCCCTGGGACAGGATGTCATTTTCAGGCTTCACAGAGCTATGAGTATTCACACTTCTCTGATACTGGCTGACTGACCCACAATTGTTTACGGTGCCTGCCAGCCTTCATGGCTTTGCCACTTTCTGATCTACTCACAACAACTCAGCAGTATCTTGTGCCTTTTGAATCCTCAGATGTCAAGAGTTTACCTTCATAGCAGACTTTGGGCTTTCATTCTATTTTATTTCCAATTCTTTTTTTAAATTTTTGATCCAGTGTTATTGACTAAACTCACACTTCTCCAGTTGCAGGTGCCGATCTCCTCATTATTGTAATTCCTTAACTGTTCATGGTCCACTCCCTTTCACCTTCAGAGGCAGAGGAGAAGTGGTGATTTCACTGAAGCATCAATCTTGTCTGCCATCTTGGCTCAAGAGAGCCAGGTCCTCCTCCAGTTATTACTCTTTTTCTTCTTCCTTCCTTTCTATCTTTCCTTCTGCCTTTTTTTTCTTTTTAATTTCTATAATTCACACACAACGAAATTTGCCATTTTAAAGTGTACCATTCAGCAACAGTAATATATTCAAAAGGTTATGCAATCATCACCACTATCTATTCCAGAACACTTTCATTACCCTTAGAAGAAACTCTGTACCCATTAGAGTCACTTCCTCCCCACCCCCACCCAGTCCCTGACAACTGTTCATCTACTCTCTGTCTTTATGAACTTCCCTATTCTAGAGATTTCACACCATACATGGCCTCTTGTGTCTGGTGTCTTTCCCTTGATACAATGTTTCCCAGGTCCATTCAGGATGTAATACCTATCAGTACTTTTTTATTTCTTTTTATGGCTAACTATTCAATTTTATGGCTATACCATGCTTTTAAATCCATTTATCAGCTGGTGGGTATTTGGGTCGTTTCCATTGTGGGCTACTCTGAATAATGCTTCTTTAACATTCATGAACATTTTATATGGACATATGTCTTCAGTTCTTTTTAGTGTAGGCTCAGAAGTGGAATTATGGTCATGTATTTGACTGATTTGACCTTTTGAGGTTTTCATCAAAGTGCTTTCCTCAGTTGCTGCACCATTCTCCATTCTTAATGGCAGTGTACAAGTTTTCAATCATTCCACATCTCATCAACATGTGTTATTATGTGTGGGTTTTTAAAAATTATCCCAATCTTATGAATATGTGGTGCCATTAATTTGCATTTCTCTAATGACTAATGATACTGAACATCTTTCCAAGATGAAGTGAAGCAACACCAGCTTGAGAGGTTTTATCCAGATTCTCATCTTTTTTTGTCACATGTGACAGAAAGTACATGATATTTATTTTTCTTATTTCACCTAACATAATGTCCTAAGGTTCCAGACATTTTCCTGCAAATGTCAGGATTTTATTCTTCTTTATGGCTAAGAAATACTCCATCTATTCTTAAATAAGTACCATCTATTCAAATCCTTTGCCTATTTTTATCTTGGGGTTTTTTTAGGGGGTTGTATTGTTTTTTTGTAGTTCTGGGGATCAAACTCAAGGCATGCTACTCAAGAGTTCTACCAGTGAGCCACACCTGAAGTTCCTTTACCTATTATTAAACTGGATTATTTCTGTCATTGCTGAGTCATAAGAAGTCTTTATATATTCTGGATACTAGGTTCTTATCAGATATGTGTTTTGGAAATATGAATTGTGTTTTCACTTTCTTGGTAGAGTCCTTTGATGCACTGAGACCTTTAATTTTGACGAACTTAAATTTTTTTACTTTGGCTCTTTGTGTGTCATATCTAAGAAACCATTGTCATAAAAGTTTACACTCATAAGGGTTTGGGCTGTCACTCAGTGATAGAGCACTGACCTGGCATGTGCAAGGCCCTGGATTCAAACTCCAGCACTAGTAAATATATATTTTTTCATATTTTATTCTAATAATTATAATTATAGTTCTTACATTTAGGTCTTTGATTCATTTGCGGTAATATTTATGAGATATGGTTCTAAATCCACTCTTGTACCCTTGGTTTTCCAGTTGCTGCAAGCCATTTATTGAAAACTAGTCCTTCTTTACTAATAATCTTGCATAATAATTATGATTGATTATTATAATTTACCTTTCTTTAATATTTAGTGGGATTATCTTGAAATCTGTCTTTTTTTTCTATAAGCTTATAGCTTCTATTTGTCTTGACCTTGAAGGATAGAGAGGACTTGGAGCCCTTTGGTATGAAGATGGTTATTCCTTCCAGATAAAAGAAAAGGTTAGGTTAGATACCCCCAAAGGGAGCACTAGAGAAAGGAAGGGTTGTGGTCTTGGGTATCTTACTTCAACATTGCATCCCTTTCACGTCTTTATCTGCCCAGCCTGGGTCACGAGGGCTGGGAAGGGAAGATGTTGCCTGGTCAACATTGGCAAAACAATAATTGGCACCATGGTTACTTTTGTTTTGTTTTGAGACAGAGTCTTACTACATAGTCTTGTTGAACTCCTGCCTCAGCCTCCCTCGTACTGGAATTACAAGCATGTGCCATCACACCCAGCTCCTTTCTATATTTTTTAAATAAGCATAAGTTCATTTATTTTAAAACTAAAAGAATTTTAATCTTACTATAAGAAATACTAGATAGGGGGTGGGGGGAAGGAAGGGATAAATGACCCAAACATTGTGTGCACATATAAATTTAAAAAAAAAGAAAGAAATACTAGATAATATGAAATCAGAGGACAACTAGTAGCTTAGATAAAACCATGCAAAGCAAAACAGATAAAAGGACGTAATGAAACAAGCAGCATCAGCTTGCGAGGTCTCATCTAGCTTCTCATGAGGATTTCGTTGTTTGATTTAGTGCTCACGTGTAACAGAAAGCACATGATACTTGTTTTTCTGTTCTGGATTATTGTACTTAGCATAGTGTCCTGCAGTTTCATGCATTTTCCTGCAAATGACAAGGCTTCATTCTTCGTGGCTGAGAAATACTCCATTATATATACATACCATATTTTCTTTATCTCTTTCTCCATTAACAGTGTGCCAATCATTCTTTTGCTAATGTTGACCAGGCAACATCTTTCTTTTCCAGCCCTCATGACCCAGGCTTGGCAGATAAAGACGTGAAAAGGATATAATGTTGAAGAAAGATACCCAAGACCTCAGTCCTTTCCTTCCCCAGTGCTTCCTTTGAGGGCACCTAACTTTGTTATCAGGAAGGAATAACCAACTTCACTCTAAAGAGCTCCAAGTCCTCTCTATCCTTCAAGGTCAAAGCAAAGCTCCACTCCTGAAGGGTGTTCACCTAAGCCCCTAAACCATGGTTCTTTTTCATTTCTCTGAACTCTAAGGCTTTAATCAGTATTCTGTTGGGCCCAAACCCTTGCGTGGCCTTGATTTTTGTGTCACATTCTCAAGTCTTTTCTTGGGCTCTAAAGTTATAGATGCAACATTTAACTCATTCACCTAAGTGAGGCTATCCTGGCCTCTGTTCTAGGGAGAGACACAAAAGTGGATTGCAGTTTGTGCTCTATAATCTGCTTATCAAGAGGAAGTTACATTTTAAAAATAATTTTCTGTATACTAATGACAAATAGTGACGTAATCCAAGGAAACAATATGGGCAGCAAGCCTGCCTTGCATTACCTGGAATCTGAGGATTTGAGTACTATTATCCAGGTAAAACTGCCAAACAGTCAGACTGACCTGAAAGGAGTAAGAGGAGGCAAAGGATAGCAGAAGGAGGAGCCCATTCTAGAAGCTCATGGTAGCCACCTGGAAGGCAGGAATGCTTTCTCTAATGACAGAATATGTTCTTACTAGGAAAGGTGCTTATTCCTTTCAATACAGTGATATGGAGGCCAGAGTCTTGGGTCTTTGTTGAGTTTAGCTTTGTGTGAGTACACAGGTCACAGACTTCCATGTATTCACCAAATCCTATTTTCTGTTCATGGGATTACAGCTAGACTACATTTCCCAGCCTCCTTTGCAAATAGGAGGAACCACATGACTGTTTGATGGCCAATAGAATGTGAATTAAAATGACAAACTCTACTTTAGACCCAGTCTTTAAAAACCTTCTGCATGAGCCTCCCTGATACTATTCTTTTCCCATCTGCTGACTGGATATACAGGAACTACCAGAGGAGGCCCTGGAAAAGGACAGAGCTACAGACAGAAGGGTCCTTGAATTATAGCTTAGATGACTGCCCACTGGCCACTCTTATAGAAATAGACTGATAATGAGAACACACTCTTAATTTTTTTAACTCCATGAGCCTAACAATGTAGCCCAGGCTAGCCTGTGAGCTGGCCTTCATAACCTTGCCTTTACCTTCTTAGTGCAGGATTATAGACATGAGACACCACACCTGGCAATTCCACGAAATTTTTATGACTCTCTTTGTATTTTTACAGCAATTAGCCAGCCTGGGTAATGCATAGATCTAACAAGGAAGGAAAAATTGGGATGGGAACTTGTGCCCATAATGGAATGAAAACAACGGTGAAAACTGTTAGGAATTATAACAAGGGAAACTAAGACATAGGAGAGGAGTATAAAAAGCCACAGAATCCTCAGGTTGATACATCTGTTTATTTGGCAGAAACTTGAGCCTTCTCAGGGTGAAGAGGTAAAGGAGAGGAAACTGGAGCAAATGAGTGTCCCAAAAGGGAACCAGGCAGCACTCTTTTTAGAACACAGAGTCATCCTCCAGCCCACACTTAGTACATTGGGCCCATCATGGTTTTAAAGGGCTCACTGGAAGAGAAAAATTAGGTGGTTAGAAAGTCAGAACTTCTCGTTTGAATCCATTTCAAACTTCATAGCATCCTGGGCCCAAGATTAAAAACAGACATCCCTTCTGTTATATCAAGAGATACCTCCCTTTAAAGCATTTTCCCCCAAAAAAGTTTGTTGGTTGAGCAAACAGGTGAAGACCAGATTTCCTTGGGCCTGAGAGAAGGGACCAGTAATTGGGTTCTTGGACAAAACGAGGATATACAAACTGATTGGTGATTTCTGACAGACGCCAAGAAGCTTAATGAGAGAGGGGGAATATCATAGGCCCCATGTTGGTGTTTATTTTTATTATCTTGAATTGGATATAAGAGGCCATTGCCTTATGCTGCCTGTTTCTTTGGTATTTGGGTAACCGAACTCCTTTGTTAGGGGTCATGTCTTCTGAATAGTGGGTGAGGTGCAGAAATTAAGTAACTCACTCGTTATCCAAGCAGATGTTTCCACAGAAGGTCCAGCAGCATGTATAATTTGGAGTTGAACAGCTCTGAATTCTAGTGCACCTTCTCATACAATACTTTAATGGAGGCTGTACCCAGCACTGATCAACTTCTCTTATTCTATCTGGAATTAAGACACTATAAGTTAGCAGAGCCCATCTACTCATAACTTAGAGAAGAAACCCTTTTCAAGCTGAACAATCTCTTCTGGAACTAGGGCTCCAAGACACAAAATATTTTTCTGCCTTCCAAGAAAATCCCTTCCTCAAATTCCTACCGGTATCTCCTCACGAGAGACCATCCTCATAGGACATGTTTTCCCTCCCCCAACATGTTGTCATAGCACTTTAGGACTCTACATCCTAAAGACAGGACCTGGAATACTCTCAACATGTATGATAACACCCCACCAAATTTATTCTCATATAACCTTATATGCATTATCATCTAGCTCCAATTTCCATACTCAATTTGCAGAAAGGGAAAACTGAGACAAGAGAAAATGAGACCTAATTTTCTCCCTTTCTGTTGTTCCCTTAGGATAACACAGAGATTCTCACCTTCTTCCTAGTTCCATGTCTTTCACTACCCTGCAGCCCTCCTCCTCAGTCCCTCTGTTGGCTACACTGTCTTACCATATGACCACATGATCTACTAAGGACCCCTTGTTTGTCTTTCCTACTTTTTTTACCCTTAAAGTTTCTTCCCATCAAACTAAATGGATGTGCTAAATTTCACTCTTTGGGTACTCATCAAAGGCTCACCCAATTAAGTACAGAGATTTTGAAAATATAGACTCAACGAGAAACTTTGTGTTAGTGTTTCCTTTATTTGAGCTGGTCTGACATTGGAAAATATTATTTCCTGCTAGTCTAAGGAATTTCAAAAGCTTTGTTCCCTTTCCACATATCCAGTACTGCTTTTAGAACTGGCAGAGGGAACTTCTATGAACACTGGGAACATCCAATCTAATCTTGTTTGAATGTCTGTGCTCAAGGAGGGCTCTGATCCTTTAAAGGCTCATCCTGGATATGTGGGTCCTGAATCCACTATGACAGAAATCCTGGATGGGCAGGGCACCCTCTCCCTTACCACACCATGACCACTACCATTTCTGTGCCTGAGGCTTCCCAGCACAGACAGAAATATCCCAATCCCATAGAAGAACGTGATGCTGAGGAGAAACAAGAGCTTCATGGCTGTCGATGTTGTGGCTGGTTTAAGTTCTGGCAGAAGGCAGGTCTTTCCCCAACGCTGCTAGAAAAGAAGAGGGATTGAGAAGAATGGGGAAGAAAGAGAGGAAAAGTGCTTGTGAATACTACGTTATTCTTTCTCCTGCTTTCCTTCTCATCCTCTGCTACCCAGTAACATATCAGTTCCCAAGCTCACCATTGACTTCACCAGGCTTCCTCCCATTTCACATTATATATCCCTTCCTCTGCAAAATTGTTTCTTTTTAAAAGTCATTGCTTTTTTTTTCAATTAAAAAATAAACCTTCATGGACTGGAGGTATGGCTCAAGCAGTAGAGTGCTTGCTTTGCAAGTGTGAATCCCTGAGTTCAAACCCTAGTTCCATCAAAAATAAAAATACAGAAACTTTCAGGTTATATAATTTGTAAAATAAAAATGTAAAGAGGAAATCAATGGATACTAATCATTCTACCATCTAGTGATAATAAATATATGTATACACTTTTGTTGTAGTCATTATTTTGGGGAAATTAGACACATTAAGTGCTCTGATATTTTATTTTAAAAAAAATACATGTTACAGAATGAAATCATGAACATTCTAGTGCAGATCCTAAGACCAGATTGATTTCAGAGTCAGTTATGAGATAGTTTATTCAGCAAGACTTGACAAAAGATGGTGTCCAAAACTTTCATATGCATGGATGACTGAGAGGTAAAGAAACTATAAAAGAGTTTTGAGAGATTTTATTGGTAAAAAGCTTTGCTCGGAGAAAATGGAGATACTACCTTCTAACTCCAAGCAGAGAGGAAATACTTTACAACTATTACTCTTACAGTTTACTGTGTGTCCCCAGAAATTTTGGGGACTCAGTAGACTTGTGTTTGAGTCATGACTAAAGACTGAAGTGTGGGGATCTGGCTCATGTAGCCTGTAGCAGCAGAGATGTAGGCTGCAGTTTGGGAAGTATCCAAATTGTAATTAAGCAGATGATATTTTATGTTTCCAAGAACCCTTGAAATTTCCCACAAAACAACCTAGATCAGACGCACAAAGCTAGCCTATAATAGCATCTATTGTGTAATAACTTTCCCACTCCTCCTCTTGGTCCTTCCTTCCCCTCCTTCCTAAGAGGCAGGAGCTTTTCTTAGACAGATTGGGGTGGAGGAACAGAATCGCTAAGAGTGATAGCAACAGCCAGAGATGGTGATCACATCCTATAACTGGAATTTGTGAGGGAGGAGAGAATCTGCAGTTCTAAACAATTTACAGAGTTGTGGTTAATTGCATAAGCCTTAACAGTTAAATTACTAAGTTGAAAAGATATCTGTGATTGAAGAGTCACATAAAATCTGTGTTCCTTGTCGGGCACCGGTGGCTCACTCCATGTACTATTAGCTACTCAGGAGGCAGAGATCATGAAGATTGCAGTTTGAAGCCAGCCTGAGCAAATAGTTTGCAAGGCCCTATCTTAAAAAAATCGATCACAGAAAAGTTCTGGTGGAGTGGCTCAAGGTGCAGGCCCTAAGTTCAAACCTCAGAACCACACACACAAAAACATTTGTGGGCCTTCTCTAAGTTTTCCTGAAGAAACAAGGAAATAACAAACTATTCCAAATAAAATATACAGAGGGGAGAGAAAAATTGGAGTCACATCACACAGGTCATGTCAATGATCCAATCTAAATAATTATTTTTCATATAATGAAGACCTGAATATCTCTACTTTCTTTTTAAATTTTATTAGCATACATTAATTGTATAAAGGGGTTTTAATTGTGCAATTTTCAACATGCATATAATGTGCTTTAATTAAATCCCAGTTTCTTCTTGTTATAAAAATGTACTGATAAACCTCCTTATAGCTAAAGCTGGTAAATGTATTGTTACTTTTATAGCATGAGTTATAAAAGTTTCATGGGTAAAAGACACTGTCTCTTTCAGGTTTTGTATAATTACTGCCACTTTTTCCTCATCAAGGGTTGGGTTACATTTCCACTTAACTAGACATCACATGACATGTTTCCCTGTCCCCTTCTCTCTCCTAGGCAATATAAATGTAATTTCTGCTTTCTGTTCAGTGTTTTACTCAAGAGCAAACATGGGTGTGAGAGTCAAAGAGACCTGAGTTAGAATTCTAACCCCGTCCAGCTGTGGAACCTGGGCCACTCACATAATCCCCAGAGCCAGCGACAAGTGGCAGCCGAGAGGTAGAGGGAGTTGGTACTGAGGAGGAGAAGACTTAAGTACTTTTCAAATTCCCTCCCGCACTTGATCCGGCCCTCTCATCCTCTATCTGCTGCTTTACCTTCCTGAGATCAATAGGCAGGAATAAAAGAGTCAAAGCATAAAATTCTGATATTGTGAATTCCACAGAAAAGACAGTGACTCTCCATCTCCATGAAAATCTATATTTATACAGAAGTTTTGAACCAAACAAAAAAGACTCCTCTGTGCTGCCTAAGATGGTAACCCCCTTCCTCATATGACTATCAAAATTCATTACATCAAGGTAAAATGTCAGTTTTCAGTGATTTCAGGCACTCAATAGCAGCTAGGACCCATTATAGTATTGAATAATTCAGATATGAACCATTTCCATCATCACAAAAGCTTCTACTGGACAACATCCTTAACGACAAAGGAAATGCAAATCAAAACTACATTGAGATTTCATCTCACCCCAGTCAGAATGGCTAGCATCAAGAAAACAAAAAAGAGTAAATGTTAATGAGAATGAAGTAGCAGGGTATTCTAATTTGCTTTGGAAATCAGTATGAGGGTTTCTCAAAAAACTAAAAAATACAACTTCCACATCATGCAGGCATACCACTTCTGGGTATATACCTGAAAGAAAAAAGTCAGCTTTCTATAGAGACAGCTGCACACTCATGTTCATCACTGCACTCTTCACAATAGTCAAGCTATGGCACAAGCCCGGGTGCCTTCAGTGGATGACTGAATAAAGAAAATAAGAAAATGTAGTGTTTATTCACAATAGGTTTTATTCAGCCATAAAGAAGAACAAAATAATACCATTTGCAGGAAAATGGATGGAAGTGGAGATTAGCATGTTGAGTGAAACAAGCCATATTGAAAAAGACATTGCATCTTTTCTCTTATATGTGGAATCTTGTGGGGAGGTGTGCATGAAAGGGAAGAAGGGAGGATAAGAAAGAGTAATAGAGGATGAATATGATCAAAGTACACTATTATGGAAATGTCATAATGAAACCCCTTACTTTGTACAATTAATAAAGAAAAGTTCTACCCAGTAGTGCTGCTCTGGATGATTCCACCAAAATTACTCTGCTGCAAGGCATCTGTAATGCTAGACATCATTTAAAAAGTACAGAAGTTTTCAAAGGGGTCAGTGAAAACTCGTTCTCATCCTCCTCTTGGCATATGTGAAATTGGGATTCAGAAAAATACAAGTTTTAGGTACATGAATCATTAATGCATTGACTTTTAGACAAACTGGTTATAAGAGATTTGAGGACAGGCAAAAGGAAGAGCAGGAAGTTAGGGAGAGAAAGAAAAGTTCTTAAGCTGTAAACTATCAGATGTTTGGGGGCTTCCATCCTTCGATGCCTCTATCTGCTCTTCAGCGTCTCTATTCAGAACCCAGTCCCTGCCACCTTGCTTCAGCGTAGTCTGATGATGGAAACCACAAATTAAAATGCTGACGTTCATTTACAATTGGGCAACATTTACACCAAAGGATACAGATTCAGACCAAGGGAGAATTATCCTAAGCATGATAGACTTTCAGAAACCCTGCAAATCATTCACAAAACTGCACAGGAAGGCCAGCTAGCAGTGCCAGTTTGCCCAGTCCCTAAGCCTGAGGCTCAGGGTGTACTTCTGATCACATGAAGAAATGCAGATGCTCTGTTTTTCCCTCAAATGCGGCATATGACATATAAACTATCAGGGTGAGAGTGGCATGGATTCAGTGTGGATTCCTGGCACCTCCTTGTGCATATTCTCTATGCACAGGCATGCACAGTGGTGCAACAAACTTAAAGCAATCAGTTCTATGGAGCTGTTTCTTTGTAGTAAAAAATACAATCCTAGACCCAAGTTTTCCAGAACATAGAAACCTCATTCTTAGTGAACACCCAAAAGCCATTCAGGATCCTGAAGTTGCCCAATCCCCTTCTTTGCACACTTCAGGTGTACCAAATTGTTCCAGAGAAGAAAAACAACATGCCCAAGGTACTTCTCACATTGCGGTCAGTGTGCTGGGGATGCAGAATTCTCAGTGAATTCTTTTGGTCATCCGAGAAAAAGTATAGAACAACTAAGAGGCCCACAGTCTTCAGAAAGACACAGAATTACAGCTCCTTCCAAAATTCAAGAATCTGGGTTTTGCAAATAATGTTAAAGGAAAGAAAAGCTAAATTTAGAGCCAGGAATGCTGCAATCTTGTTTTATCTATGTTCCATTTACCTTTGGGACTTCAGAGAGGTCATGTCATCTCTCCCTCAGTTTTCTTATTTGAACAAACAAGATAGTGATTCCCACATCATGGGAACGGTTGATATTGTTGGGGCAGGGAATTCACCCAAGAAAGCCACAAATAAAACTCATGCCTCAAGACCCTAAGGCCACCTACCTCTGAAGGTGGCTGTGATAACTGGCTGACAGCTCTTTTGTCTGCCCTCTTATTACTGGGTTGGGGGACTGGAACATGGACCAGTTAAATAGGAAAACAAGGTCAAAGACCTTGAACTTTGGGTGGTTTGGATTGTGGCAGATCTTTAACTTCTACCCAGGAACCACACACTGGCCACGTGACAGACTATTTCCTTTGAAACCTACCCATCCAGAGTAGCAGATTTTCTTTGACACTGGTAGTACCTCTTAATAAACTTGGAAGAACACTATGTACCTGGGTGACAGTTCTTGCTACCCCCAGAATATGCAAGTTACATATCCCCAGACTCTTTACCTGATCCATCTGAGCCCATCCACAGGTAGGGAGTTAAGGACAGAGTCTGTACATCTGTCTTTAACATTCTATCCTTCTCAGTGTTGATTCTCTTTTGCCAGTAATCTCCTGCCAAATTCTCTCCAGCTTTTTTGTAAAGAGAAACCAAATAGGAAAGATTTTTAGAAAAGCTAGATGACCATCCAACAAATGAAGGAAAGGAAGTGATCTAGTCTAGTACCAAGATCTTGGCACAGGACCATTGGTTGAGAGGTAGAGGGATTTCTTCATCCAGTGTCAGAGACATTATATTGCACATGCATACATGCAATCTGGCATCATTAGAAAAGAGAAAGTGAAGTGGGCAAGAGTCAGAGACTCTCACTGGGCACCGGTAGCTCACACCTGTAATCCTAGCCACTAAGGAGGCAGAGACCAGGAGGATCATGGTTCTAAGCCAGCCCAGGAAAATAGTTTGCAAGACCCTATCTCAAAAAATATATAACACAAAAAAGGGCTGGCAGAATGGCTCAAGTGGTAGAGTGCCTGCATAGCAAGCACGAGGCCCTGAGATCAAATCTCAGTACTGCCAAAAAAAAAAAAGAAAAAAGGTCAGGGACTCTCAAAAAGCAGATTTCCTTCTCTCAAACCCTGTCTACAGTGACAGGAAATATCCCTACAGGATATATGTTATTTGGGGTGCACGGAGCACCAGGAAATACATTCCATGACTCCAGGGACTTAGCTGAAGAGGATGAACCAGCACAAAGGCAGAGGGTGAGTTTGGAAACCTAGGTACAAAGGTGTGGGAACAGACCAAAAGGAACTTTGTTTGTTTTGGGGATCAGGTGTCACTAGGTAGCCCAGGCTGGCCTAAGGTTCATAATCCTCCTGCAAGGAACTTCAATAGGAATAAAAATGGTGACTGGTGTGGTTTGTCCCTCAAGGGTACATGTGTTGGAGGCTTGGTCTCTAGGGTGACAATGTTAACAGGTATTAGAACCCTTAAGAGATGAGGCCTACCAGACGTTGGTTAGGTCACTGGGGATGCTGCCCTCAGAAGGAGTTAATGCTGGTCTCTTGGAGTGACTTAATTCTCATAAGAGTGAATTGTTATAAAGTGAGCTCACCACACATGTGGCCCCCACTGCACGCAGACATTTCCCTCTTCACTCCTCTGCCTTGTTATAAGCAGCCAAGGAGGCGCTCATCAGAGGGTGAACAGGTGGGGCTGTCCGATCTTGGAATTTCAGCCTCCAAAACTGTGAGCTAACTAAACCTATTTTCTTTAGACTATACCCAGCCCCAGGTGTTTTTGTTATACCAACAGAAAATGAACTAAGGCAGTGACAAATTATTGAATTATCAATTCCCAAGATATTGGTTATATGACAGGAAATTATGTTCCATGCAAAACTCTGTGTTTTGCCTGGACCTTGGGGCTCCTCAAAGGTCTATTTCCACCACAATTTTCAAGGTCAATGCTCACTTCCTCCCAGACAACCTGTCATGAACCCTTGGCTGGTAAGCCCCTCCCTCTCTGTGCTAGTAAGCTTTCTGATACTATAAAAAATAAGTGATACCACAGTCAACTTATAAAGGGAAAGGTTTATTTTGTCTTACAATTGTGGAGATTTTGGTCCATGATTTGTTGAGCTCATTGCTCTGAGTGACAGAGCACATCATGATGGGAACTTCGTGCTTGAACAAAACATTTCAATTCATGGCCAGGGAGAGAGAGAGAGAGAGAGAAGAAAAAGGAGGAGGAGGAGGTCCAGTTAACCCCTTTGAGGGTGTGCCCTCAATGACCTTGAGCTTCACTGGGCCCCATGTCTTAAAGGTTCCACTACCTCTCTACAGCACCAAGGCCAGGGATCAAATCTTTAACACATGGGCCTTTGGGGAACATTACAGATCTAAATTACAGTAAGACAATAAATACCATATCTTCATATTGTATATGTATGTATGTGTGTGTTTATATATCAAACTCTAAGCATAAAATTTATTTGCATCATATATGCTTTTTGTACATTTAATGGGTTCTTTATGGCATTTTCATACATGTATGCAATGTAGTTTGATCATACTCACCCCCTTTATCCTTTTTCATCATTCCCTTATGTATATGTGTGTGTGTAGTTATATATTTATACCTGATTTACTTAGTTACTCTTTCACCCAGGACTTCTACCTCTCTTAAAAAGAATCTAAAAAGAATCAAATATATATAGTAAGAATGATTGATATGACATTTTATAGAATTCATTAATTAATTCAACAACTTGACAGTATATTGTAAGCAAAATCAGTGCAATTATGTTAAAGCTGTATTTTGTGAAAAGCTTACATGATTGAATAGAACTGGCAGAAGATAGGTAATATAAAGAGCTGACACAAAATGTGAGAACACAAAGGAGCGTTTGTGTTAAACATGGAGAAACTCAAAGACAGTACAATGAAGATGGATCAATTTTAAGTAGTAACATTTTATTTTTAACTATATTTTCCTTTTTGTATAAAATACTTTGTGTTTAGAAAACAAATAAATTGTACATTTCATACAAAAATTCTTTGAGCAAGAAGAAAGGGCTGCTTTTGTGAAAAGAAGTGACATCCCTAAAGGAGGCTAGTTCCACAAAGAATGGGGCAGGGCAGGGGGCAGGCAGGAAGCCAGGAGGCTCTTGTTCTGTTGGCCAGCAGAGGCAGTGACGAGCTGAGGACAATCTCTTTTCCCATTCTTTCTCTCTCTAAATCCAGCTCTGCAAGGAAGTCTGTGCCATTCTACCAACCTTACACTCATGGCTCTGGTCAGAGTCAGGCCACCCCACGCTGTGCTGCCCACACTGCTCCTCTGCGTGCTGCTGCTGCTGCAGAGCCAGGGAGGGCACCGTGAATGGGGAAGGATGAAGGGTAAGTGATGGGCTGCATGGCTATGTTGGGAGAGGGCCACAAGGGCTGAGCTCAGTCTGAGGAGGACCTGAGAGATGGCACCTTTCTGCATACCCAGTGCTTACCTCAGCACTGTGCAGATTCTGGGCTGGTCCAATTCCAAAGATCCAAAATCAATAGTACATAGTGTGATGAAAGGTGCACCATGGCTTAGAATCCAATGGACAAACAAGGCAATTACACTTTAATTTATGGAGGGGTAAACATCCAGAGATACCCAGGGGGTAGGATATAGGTATAGAAATGGGAGTAAGTGTAGAAAGAAAGGACATTGGGCAGGAAAACGTGGAATGTACAGAGCTACAAGATAGTCATCATCAGAAGGAGCAGAGGTTGGCAGTGGAAGGGACACTATTGAAAGGGCAGCGGGAACAGTAGAGAGAGACAAGAGGCAAGTCCATCTTCCTCTCTGGACCCTGCAAAATCTGGAAAGCAGGAGGGTTTGGGAGATGTCTCAGGCTTCTTTGAGCTCTCAGGGTGAGAGGTTGGGGACTTCATTAAGGCAGTGTCTACTAGGGAGACAAGTCCTGATGCAGGTGTTTGGAGAGAGTCCAGGAATCACAGGCACTGAGGTATAGGGGACATGGGGAAGGATAACAGGGAGCATAGGATTTCAAGCACTACTGATTCCAAGGATTTAGTGAGGAGCATAATGGAAGTTCCCAGAAAGTGTGGGAAGATTGTGAATGGGACCTGGGTCCTGGGTTTCTGTAACAGCTTTAACTTTGAGAAGGATGATCTCCAGGCAACTGCTTCCATTCAAGGATTCCTGCCTCTTTTCAGAAACGCAACAACTATCCAAAGAAATCAAGGACTGTACTAAGCGGCCTCACATCTACATGTGCAAAAACCCCTGTGAATCTGATCGAAGCTGTCAAGCAAATAACATATGCTGCTCCGCCTTCTGCGGTAATGTTTGCATGAGCCTTGAGTGAGTATGTGGGCAGTGCTTTGGCTCCCATGACCCTCTGTTCAGAGAGACTCAGCCCACGACTGAAGCACGAGGACTTCAAATTATGAACACAAGAGCATCAACAGGAAAGTCACGCTCCCCACTCTCTGAACACCTTGTTCCTGTCAAATAAACCAGAACAAATGCCCAAGGGCCCGGCCTCTTTGACTCCCACTACTGAGATCATTGGGAACCCATGCAGTTCCCACAATGCCCCGCCCTTCTCGGGCAGGTCTCCACTCTCTCTCCCCGGTCGTGTTTCTCTCCTCTCTCCACTTGGCCTCTTGGCAGGGGGCACCCTGCCAGCCCCCAGGAGACTCAGCTCTGAGGCTCTGCTCACTGATCCACTTGTCCCTGGGGAAACTTCTCATGTGCAGCATGTCCCAATGCTGAGAGGACATTTCTCACCCTGGGGTCAGAAGGACAGTTAGGCATGGAGGTAGACGCTGGATGATGGAGCCCCCTAAGGCCGCTTCCTACCCTTAGTCCTGGTCACCACTACCCTGTTCTCCGTCATCCGCAGTTAGTATCTGCTTACAAGGAGAATAATAAGTCTAGGGAAATCGAGTGTTGTGCCCAAGGTCACAGGGAGTGAGAAGATGATGCGACCAGAGGAGGATGTTCCTCTGGAATCCCTGTTTGCTCAATCTCTCCATTACCTGAGGCCCGAGGAATGTTTTGAGTTCCTACACCAAACTTCCTCCTGCCCATCACCCTCAATATGGACACTCCTATGGTGGGGCCTGGGTTGTGGATTGGGACTGGAGACTCCAGTGCTTGCCATAAACTGAATGTCCCCCACCATTCCCAACCCTCTTCCTTATGTTCTCATTCTCTTTTGATCCAGAGGAGCACCAAGGAGTGGGAGAAGAAGTGGTTCGTGCCGACATTGCTGAAGATTCTTTGGGCAGGGTGGCTCTGGGTCTTGCCTGTATCCTATTGTAACTTAGTGGAGATCAGTTGCTGGGGGTACAGACTTTCTCCTGCTCTGTGAAATCACAGCTCTTCTGAGATGATCCTGGGTCACATGTGGCTGCATTAGTCAGCTTCACATTACTACAACAGGCTACCTGAAGCAGCTCATTTAGAAAAGGTTATTTAGCTCACAGCTTAGGATCAAGTCCAAGAGCATGTGGGCACATGGGTTTCAGGTCTCTGTAAGGGTGATACACCGTGTCAGGAGCACATGTCAGAGCAACTGCTCAAATCATGAGACAGAAAGCAGAGAGATAGGACAGGCCAGGGTCCCGCCATCCCTTTCAGGGGCGTGCCCTCTCTGACCTAAGGACTGCTCAATAGGTCCTACCCCTAAAAGACCACAGCAGTTTCCAACAGCCCCATCCTGGGGACCAACCTTTGACACAGGGACTCTTGGGGGACACTAATGCAAACTATAGCAGTGGCCAATTGGGACATGGTGTCAAATGTGAAGAGAATTCAGGCCCAGAGGCAGGTATGGAGTTTTATGGTCTAGCCCAGTGATTTTTTTCTTGGGCCATCATCTTGCTTCAGTAAGGAGACAGCAGAGGAGAGAAAAGCTCCATCAAATGAGAGCTTCTGAACCACCTCATAAGCATCACAGGACTCTGAGTATTCTATATATAGGAGTTTTAGCTTCACCTCTGCCAAGGCTGTTCTTGCACAAAGGGATCTTAGGAAAGAGATCAAGATCAAACACCAACCAGACATCTCTAGAGGCAGATGGGCAGCAAGAGCATGTTCTCCAAGACATCTTGTGTAAGTTACATTTCTCACCACTGTGACCAAATACCTGACTGAAACAACTTAAGGAAAGAAGGTTTATGTTGGCTCACACTTTCAGAGGTGTTAGTCCATCATGTGTGGAGGGCAAGGCAGGTCACATAATGTAGGTCAGAAAGCAGCAAAAAGAAATCCAAGAATGGGCCAAGGCAAGAAATAATACCAAAGACACACTGCCAGGGATCTGCTTCCAAGTAGGCCCTGCTTCCTATCTTTCACCATCTCCTAATCATTTCATCACATCATGAATCTGTCAAGGGATTCATTCATTCATTAAATCAGAGCCCTCATGACTTAATTGTCTCGGCAAACACCACCTCAGAGGTGTGCTTTACTAATCTCCTAGGTATTTTTCAATCCAATCAAGTTGACAACCAAGACTAACCATCATACCTCTTCTTTGTTGTTTTCCCAGATAGCTTCATTACCAAGCATCTTTTTGGGCCATGGCCCAAATACTTCTAATAGCAACTACTAAGAGAAAAAATATTACTTGCCAATGGCCATATAGAGAATGACCTTCCACAAAGGCCAGTGCTTTCTTTCATGTGGAAATACCATGGGTACCAGGACGATCTATTCCCTCTCACTGGCATGACTATACAATCAATGGACCATTTTGTCATAATTCTACCAGAAGGGTTTCTCTGCTCCTGTCAAATAACTAGTGCCCTGACCTCTGGTCCAGGGAGCTCTCTGGACAGCCACTGTGCCCCAGTGAAATCAGAGGTTATACCCAGAATATGGTTGCGAAGGAGTGCCTACCTGGTCATAACTGTGTACTCTTGTCTTCCATGGAATCATTTGTGAGATCTGTTACTAAGTAGAATATGTGAGTGAGGACACCTGAAAGAGCTTAAATCTTAGTGGGCAGAGGAGGAAGCAAATGCAAATCTGCCAAGAGCTAGGACCTATAAAATGACAAGTTCCAGCCTCCAGAGGATCACAGGTCAGTCTGATTTGTTTGAAACCAAACACATAGCCTAGGTTGCCCTGCTTTTGCATTATTTCTTCCCTTCCTATGATCTAGACTTGCTCTTTCTCCATGTGAATGGTACAGTAGGAGCTAGAAGGATCCTCCCACTCATACACCATTGACACTGCGACTCCCTCCTCATTTTCATCAGGCTGCACCTGATGCTCACAGATGGCCCCATCCCAATGCTATTATCATCCTAACCTCTAGTAGTTGCTCCTCATAACAAACCTAAGATACCTAATTAATGAGCTATAAGAAGTTATCTGAAATACAAAGGGTGGGTTTAGATGTTGAGGTCAATTATCTACCAACAAGAAAAGTCCACTGAACTAAATACCATTAAAATATATACAACATGTAACATTCAAGGATAGTCCTCTATTCAGGGAAGTTGTTGCCATCCCTAAAACTCTAAAGTTACATTATTTAGAAGTATCCCCATCCGTTAATGTGTCCACTATCTTGAGAAGAGTTCACTTCTTGAAAATCTTTCATGAGAAATGATAAAAGACAAAGATAAGAATCTAAGTCAGAGGGCACTAAACTTGTGATTTCTAAGACTGTTCTGAATGGTTGTTGCTGGGTATGTACCCTCCCTCCCTCCCTTTATTATGTCAATTCAAGTATTCTGTTACTTACAGGAAGTTTTCTTGAATTACATCTTTTAATTTATTTATTTTTAGTTGGCAAAATTGATTATATTTATCATGTATATCATGATGCTTTGATAATGTATAAGTTTTGGTATGTTAAATCTAGCTAATTAACATACATACTACTTCACTTTTTGTGTTGAAAATATTCCCAATCCACTTTTAGTGTTCCTCAAAAATATATGATCAGTAACTATAGTTACCATGCTGTGTAACAAATCTCTTGAATTTATGGCTCCTATCTAACTGAAATTTTCTTTTTACCAACGTCTTCCCAACCTCCACCCTGAGACCATAGGAACCACTGTTCTACTCTCTGCTTCTAAAAGTTCAACTTTTTTAGTTTCCATATTAAGTGAGATGATGCAGTACTTGCTCTCTGTATCTAACTTATTTCACTTAATGTAATATCCTCCAAATGTTGTCACAAATGACACAATTTCCTTCTTTTTAAGGTTGAATAGTATTTTGTTGTATATATATATATATATATATATATATATATATATACATACATTTATATATATACATGTATATATATATGTATGTACATATATATATGTACATGTATATATATACATTTTCTTTGTCTATTCATCCATTGATGTAATGAACATGGAAGTACAGATATATCTTCAGCATGACGATTTCATTTCTTGTAGATATTTATCCAGTAGTGGGATTACTGAATTGCATAATTCTGTTTTTAGTTTTTTTAAAAACCCCTATAAATCTTTCAGTAATGGCTGTACATACTACTTTGCATTTCCACCACCAGTGTACCAGTGTTCTCTTTCCTCCACATCCTCACCACCCATGTTATCTTTTGTCTTTTTTATGTCTTTTTGTTAATAGCTACTCTGGCAGGTGCGATATGATGGATCCTCATGTTTTAATTTGCATTTCCCTGATTGATGTTGTTTATCTTTTTCTCATATTTCTGTTAGCCTATTGTCTTCTTTTAAGAATGTCTGTTCAGGTCCCTTGCCCATTTTCAAATCAAGTTATTTTGTTTTCTTGCTATTGAGTTGTTTGAGTTCCTTATGTACTTTGTATATTAATTTATAAATATTTTCTTCTGTTCTGTAAGTCATCTCTTCATTTTGCTGATAGTTTCCTGGTTGTACAGAAGCCATTTAAGCTTAATAAAATCTCACTTTTCATTTCCTCTTTTGTTAACTGTGTTATTGGGATCGTATCCAAAACTCATTCCCAGAAAAATGTCATAGAGATTTTCTTCTATGTTACCTTGCAGTACCCTTACAGTTTCAGGCCTTATGTTTAAGTCTTTAATCAATTTTAAGTTATTTTTGTATAAGGTGAATATAAGGGTTCAATTGCATTCTTCTGCATGTGGATATCCAGTTTTGCCAACACCATTTATTGAAGAGACTGTCTTTCTCTATTGTGTGTTCTTGATACCTTTGTCAAAAAACAATTATATGCAGGGATGGGGCCATATGGTAGAGCACCTGCCTAGCAAGTGCAAGGCCCTGAGTTTAAACGTCAATACTGCTAAAAAAACTTATGGCCAATTGTATATGAATGTCTGGATTTATTTCTAGGCTCTGTTCCATTTGTACCATGCTGCTTTGGCTACTCTTAGTGTTTCTGAATCAGATAACATGATGTCTTTTTTTTCCTTTTGCTTAAGGTTGTTTTGTTTATTTGGAGTCTTTTGTGCTTCCAAATAAATTTTGAGAGTGATTTTTCTCTTTCTATAAGAAGTTTCGTTGGTATTTTTATAGAGATTATGTTAAATCTATAGTTCACGTTGGGTATTATGGACATTTAAACAATATTGATTCTTTTAACCCAGGCATGTGAGAGATCATTCCATTTATTCATGTCTTTAATTTCTTTCATCAGTGTTAAATAGTTTCCAGGTCTTTCACCTCTTTGGTCAAATCTGATCCTAAGTATTTTAAATTTTGCAGTTGTTTCAAATGGGATGGTTTTATTCATTTCTTTTTCTATAGTTCAATGTTAGTTCATAGAAATGGTATTATTGGTGTGTTCATTTTATGTTCTGCAACTTTGTTGAATTTCCTTATCATTTTAAGAGTATATTGGTAAAGTCTTTAGAATTTTTTGTGTATAAAATCATGTCATCTACAAACAGATACAAATTAACTTCTTGCTTCTTATTTCATTCTCTTTCCTAATTCAACACTTTTAATAATGTGTTGAATAGAAGTGGCAAGAGTGAGCATCCCTTGTCTCCCACTTTGTCTTAGAGGGAAATTTTAACTTTTCACCATTGAGTATGATGTTAGCTCTATGTTTTTTATATATGGCTTTTTATGGTATTGTGGTATATTTGTTCTACAGTTAATTGTTGAGAGTTTGTTTAATCATGAAATTACATTGCCTTTTCTGCTTCTATAAGAGATCATTGTTCTTCATTACGTAAATGTGACATATTGCATTTATAGATTTCCATGTATTGAACTATCTTCTCTTCCCACTTGACCATAATCATCTTTTTTTTCTTCATCTTTTTTTTTCTTCTTCTTGAACTCAAGGAGTGATAGGCAAGCACTCCACCACTTGAGCCATGTCAACCCCTAGCCTATGAATAGTATTTTTAATGTTGAATTTGTTTTGCTTGTATTTTGTTTTGGCTCTACTAGGGATCTACTCAGCTGGACTTGGATTCTGGGTCTGCTTGTAATCATAGGGACTGACCTAGAGCCAGAAATACTGGCTTGAAGTTCCACTGGTGCTAGTCTGGAGAATGGGTGTTCAGGTACAGGTCTCGAGGCAAGGTCTGTCCTGGATCTTGAGACCTATGAAGTCAGCCTGGGATTGAGGTACACAGGGGGCAGTCTTGGAGCCTTAGTTCAGCTCCAGGGTGTAAAGACAGGCTTGGACCCTGAATCTGCTGGAGTATGAGGCTGCAGAAACCATCCTGGTATGTTGGAGTATAGGTACTGGCCTAGCCCTGGACAGTCTGGAGTGCTGGCATGATGTGAAATAGACCTGAAACCTGGGGCCACAGAGGATGGCTTGGGCTGGGTGGGCCTGTATCCTGTATCTACAGGGGTTAGCCTAGGTTTAAAAGTACTAGCCTGATAAATAATGGTATAAAAGCTAGCCTGGTACAGGGGTGGGACTTAAGCCTGTGGTCAGGGAGACCAATCTAGTGCTGAGAGGGGTCCACAGCCTGGGATTTAGGGGCCAGACTGGCCTTGTAGTGGGCCTGGAACCTGAACCTGTGGAGGCTGACCTGATACGAACCTGAAGCCCAGGGCCCTTGGAGTTGGCCTGGCACTGAGGCAGATTCAGAGATAGAGTCCTCCAGGTAGTCCTGGATCCTGAGGCTGTGGTCTCTACCTGTGTCAGGGCAATTGAATACTCAGTCTGAGGGTACTGGCCTGGGACCTACAGGAAGTATCTGCATAGGCCAGCTGGAAGACTAGGTCCACAGGTGCTGGCCTAATGACTAGGGCTACACAGCTCACCCTGGTGCTAGGAGTGGTCTGGAGGCTGATAGCACTGAGGCTGGCCCAGTACTACAGGAATTCTGGAGCCAGAAGCCAGTGAGGTAGATTTATGTGTCATTTATTTTTTCTGACAGTTAAAAATCTGATTCCTATCATCTACAACTTATTTACATATTTGTTTAATCTTGTTTATATGTAAAGTCATTTTAGAATTTACACATAAATCTGAGTGAACCAAATTTACCAGAGAGCAGATCTTCCAAAAACTAAATGAAAGAACTGCTTGTCAAGTCCCCACATTAAAATGATACATGAGAAATAATAAACTTCTATTCTCTGAAGCCTGAAAGATTAGCTTTTCATTTCTAGGTTTACCAAATGGGGGCGGCAAAGATTGTAATCTTGAATACATTGCTGGATGATAGAAACAATATATGGATTTTAATAAGGTAATCAAGGTAGTAGGACAGTGTGAACAAAAGCCAAGCCCCACTGTTAGAAAATGAGTTTGTTTATCATGAGTTTGCTGCTGCTTACTCCTCAGTAAGAATACATTAGTGCTCCTAAAAGTAGCTCTGATTTCTCTTAAACATCTGTCAGCTCATACAGGTGGTGGGTCAGTGGGAAGTTAGGGTTCTAGCCTTATTCTAAGATTATGTTTTCTGTACTAGGGATCACTTGCTAAGCAAGTGCTCACGCTACCACTGAGCTATGTCTCCAGACCAAGGCATTAATTCTTTTTAAATGGTTTTATTATATTTTTAATCAGTATCATTAATAACACAAGGGAGTTGCATTGTGGTAATTCATACATGTGTACAGTATACTTTGAACAAAGTCACCACCTCCATTGTATCAACCATTCTTCCCTTCCTCCTCCCTACCTTGTTTCCAAACAGTGCTGGGTGGGTTTCATTATGCTGTCCTCAAACACATACATGTAACATATTTTGATCCTCTCCCCCCTCAGTATCCTTTTCTTTCCCCTTCCCCTTTCCCATTGATCCCCTCCACCCCATGGACCCCCTTTCATACTCATGTCCCATTATTACTATTGTCATCCCCACCATTATTATTATCATCATCATTTTAAGGTTAGGTTCCACAAATAAGTGAGAACATGCAACATTTGGTAGCAACTGTATCTACCTCAGATTTTATCTATACTCAGAATTGTATTTACAACAGCCTAGTGCATCTTCTGACATGGATCCCTGGTGAACGTGACAGATGAAAAGGCAATCTGACCCAAAAATCTTAGCATTCTTCTCCCTCGACTTAGCTGACATGCAGAGTTTCTGTCTAAATAAATAGTACCACTATTCACCTAGGTCTCTTTCTTAAACAGACTTTTCTTCTTGTTTTTTCCCCTTTTTCACTGTCCAAGGTTGGGATCCAAACGAAACTTCTGCATTATAAGTTTTCTGTAAGAGAAAAATTTTAGGTGCTTAGAGGCCAGGGCACTCTTAGAAACAAACATTCATCCTCAAGCTTTTTTTTTTTTTTAATACTGGGTTCTGGGATTTGAACTCAAGACCTTATGCTTGCTAGGCAGACACTCCACTACTTCAGCCACTCCACCAGCCCCAGCCCCAAGCTTGATAGTGCCCATCCCCACTAGCGGAAATAGCTTAATGCACCAACGGGAATCATCCACCTCTAAGAGGGTGAATATTGGTCCATTGAACAGCCTGGCTGAGCCAAATGAGCCCATAGAAAAGTTTGACTATGGTGAGATATCTGGACAAAAGTTAGAAAAATAGCAAATTGTTGAGTGCTATAAAGAGGACAAATGAGCATTAACTATGTAATGAAAGAAGCTGTGGACTCTAAGCTAGTTCCTGGCTTATTTGCCAATAAATTGCTTTCCAGCTTGGGAGACATTGTTGTCTGCTCATTTTTGCACCTCAGATTTGGGACACCTTAGGCTTCTCTTTAGGAATAGCAGCCTCTGTCAAGGGCATGAATATCCATGAAGATACAGCCCAAGTACACATTTCCCAGCTCACCTTATTTTCCAAGCAGATGTCACCACAATAGGCCCAGCAGCATGTGTGATTTTGGAGGAAACATCTAAAGGTCTTAGAACACTTCTTGGTACAGTCTTCAGCATTTGGGTCTAGCCAGCACTCCTCAATTAACATTTTACCACCTGAAATTGAGAAGAAATGACGAGCCTGATAGTCAAACACAAGAAGAGAAGCTCTACAAAAATTTTATAACTCCTCCTAAAATCTGAGCCCATCTCCAGCAAGGTGTCTATCTGCCTTAGAAAAGTCTCTTCCTGAGCCTCCTCCAGTTCATCATTACGATGACTCTGACCTCATTGCATTTTCACTGACCCCGTTGCCTCTCTGCTCCCACAGGTCTTCCCAGTGTTGCAGGCCACTGGCCTTCTTTTAGCATTCTAGAGACAGGACTCACTGAACCCCCAGCATTTATGTGCCCTCCTATAAAATCTAGTCTTATTTAGCAGGAGAGCTCAGGGTCTGAGGTGCCCTCCAGCCTCATTACAAGAGTAATGAGCAGATTCTCCCTTTTTCTTCCCTTCCTTGCTGACTCTTCCTTTAATAACTTGGCTGCTCTCCAAATTTTTCTCTCTCGTGCTCAATTTTCTTAGCCCTCTCCATTGGTTCCATTTTCTTCTCAAACAACCCCCAACTTTGCTCCTCTAAGGACCCATCTTGTGTCTTCTGTCTCTTCAGATTCTGAAAGATGAGTATACATCAAGGGTTTATATTAAGAAATACCTTTTGGCACTCGTCAAAGTAAACACAGTGAGGAAATAGAACTTCTGGAAATATGAGTAACTATTTGAAGTTCGGCACCCAAACCTCAAGAACACTGGAAAATATTATACCCTTACAGCTTATGGAATTTGTTTAAAAGTTGAAAGATACTCATTGCTAATTTCAAATGGGAAGAGGAAGCATCAAGGGATCTCAACTTGGGAACTTTTGGATCTCTGTGCATGTGATTCTCTCCAATGACTGATACTAGAAAGGTGGGTTCTTAGTCAAATACACCAGACACGATACACTCTCACTTGTCCAGGGACAAACACAGCCCCTCTCCTTTGGCTCCCAGTGCAGCCTCACCACCTACGATTATATCTTGTCTTCATTTCTCCCAGCACAGAAAGCAGCACCACACAGAGGAGCATCATGCACAAGGGTGACCAGGGCCTCATGATGCTGATGATACGTGTCTGAGCTTGCAGTCAGATTGTTTTCTTTCCCAGCTTCTGCTCTTGACCCCTTCAAGAGATAGAAATAGAGAAGAAAATTGCAAAGCAAGAGGAAGTGCCTATAGAAATTTCTTCATGCTTCATCTTCCAGTTATTACTCCTTGTACTCTGCCCACCCAACAACAGATATACATCAAAGCTGAATGCTAGCTTTGCTAAACATATCTCTCTGTTCACACCTGTTGTTTTCCTTTTGCGGAATAAAAAAATTTTAATGTATTGCCTTCCCTTGATTAAAAGGTAATTCAGATTCATATTACAAAATACTTAAAATAAGTCAGGTTTGGTGGTACACGCCAGTAATCCTAGCACTCAGGAAACTGAAGTAGGAGAATCCAGCCTGAGCTCTATCATAAGACCCTGCCTCAAAAAAAAATTTAAGCACAAAAAAGAACAAAGAAGAAAATGAAATATTCCTAGCAATTTCACTATATTAGTATAAAATACTCAATATAAGCACACACGTACACAAATTGTAAGCACACACACATACATGAATTGTTTCAACAAAACTGAAATTGTGTATTGGTCTTTCTTTTTTGGTGGTGCTGGGATTTTAACTCAGGGCTTCAACTTGCTAGACAGGCACTCTACCATTTGAGCCACACACACCTCCAGCCGGTGTTCTTTCATTTCAACTTGAACAACTCTCTTTAGGCAGATGTAGTGGTTATGAACCCCTCAGTATTTTTCATTATTATTATTTAGCCCTTTATTCAAATCATTCTTTTATTTTTATTTATTCATTGGATTTTTTTTTGAGACATAGTCTTCTATGTAACCTAGGCTAAACTTGAACTCACAGTTCTCCTGTCTTAGCCTCCTAAATGCTGAGAGTATATGCATACACCACCACACCTATCTTAATTCTTTTATTTTTTGATTGATATATAATATTGGCACTTATTAGTGAGGTACAATGTATGTTTTGATTCACGTATACATTAATTAGGTGGTGATCAATTCAAAGTGTTTTGTATATCTAACACCTTAATGAGTACTTAAGTGAGTACATTCAAATTCCTCTCTTCAAACTATATTGAGCTATACAATGTATCATTAATTATATTCACCCTACTGCACCATAGAACAACAGAATTTGTTCCTCCTATCATATAGTAACATTGGACCCACTGACAAGTCTTTCCCCTTCTCCCCTCCTCTCTATTCTCCCTAACGTCGGTAACCACTGCTTTGCTTTCAACTTGTATGAGATCAACTTTTGAAATTTCACTCATGAGTAAGATCATATGGTATTTGTCTGTCAGTGCCTGACTTATTTCACTTAATAATGTCCTCCAGGTCCATCCATGTTGTCACAAATAACAGGATTTCATGCTTTGTGGCTGAATAATACTCCATCATATATATTATCACATTTTCTTTATCCATTCACCCATTGGTGGACATTTAGGTTGGTTTTATATTCTGGCTATTGTGAATAATGCTGCAATAAATTTGGAAGTGCAGTTTTCTTTCTAACATGCTGATTTCCTTTCCTTTGGGTATTTACCCAGCAGTAGGTTTTCTAGATAGTATAGTTTTATGGGTTTTATTAGGAACCTCCCTACTGTTCTCTCTAATAGCTATACTAATTTTCATTCTCATTAACAGAGTGTAAGACTTCCCCTTTCTCACATAATCAAAAGATTTGTTCATTGGTTTTTTGTTGTCCTTTCTACAATATGTATTGTCCCTAGGGTAAGGTGGTATCTCACTGTGGTTTTTATATCCATTTCTCTGATGATGAGTGATGTTGAGTGTTTATTCATATATCTACTGGCCACTTGTATGTCTTCTTTTAAGAAATGTCTATTCAGATCTTTAGCACCTTTTTAAAATCAGATTATTTGGTCTTCACTATTGAGATTTTTTTAATTGTTTGTATATTCTGAATGCAGTAGTCACTTTTTCCATTGCTGTGACAAACTCCTGAGGAAAAAACTTAAAGGGAGCAATTATTTATTTTGGCTCACAGGTTCAGAGGTTTCAGACCATAGTCATTGGATATTGGCTCCCTCCTCTCCCTTCTCCCCCTAGAGTTTTTCTGTGTAGCCCAGGCTGGTCTCAAACTTGTGTTCCTCTCTCAGCCTCCCTAGTGCTGAGATTACACACATTAAACACCACACCTGGCTCTCTTTTTTATTCTTAGTCTAGAGATTTGTTGATTCTGGTTATCTTTTCAAATAATTGACCCTTTGTGGGAGTGGATATTGAAGTAGGGTTTCACTATGTAGCAGACTGACCTTGAGCTCTCGATCCTCCTACTTCAGCCTACTGAATGCTAGAATTACAGCTGTGAACCACCATACCTGGCTAAAAAGTTTGTTTTCTTGTGGTGCTGAGGAGTGAACCCAGGGTCTTGTACATGTGAGGCAAGCCATCTACCACTGAGGTACATCCCCAGCCCTCAAAAAGCCAGCTCTTAGTTTCATTGATCTTTTGTAGCTTTTTAGCCTCTATTTTATTTATTTCTGGCCTGATCTTTATTATTTCTTTTCTTCTAATTTTTAGTTTAGTTTATTCTTATTTTTCTAGTTCCTTGAGATGCCTTGTTAGGCTGTTCTCTCAACATCTAAGTATTTAATGTACGTATTTATTACTATGAACTTACCTCTTAGAAGTGCTTACTGATTTTGCTTTATCCTATAAGTTTTGGTGTTATGATTCCATTTTCATTTGTCTCAAGAAATTTTTTAATTTCTCTTTTAATTTTTTCATGAGTCTTTGTTCAAGAGCATGTTGTTTAATTTCCAGGTATTTGTACAATTTCCATAGTTCCACTGTGATTAGAAAAGATGCTTGATATGAGAGCTAGAGGTGTGGCTCAAGTGGTAGAGCTCTTATTTAGCAAATGCAAGTCCCAGAGTTCAAAACGCAATACTGCCAAAAGCAAAAAGAATACAAAAACAAAAATACTTGATATGACTTCAATGTTTTTGAATCTGGTAAGATTTGTTTTGTGTTCTAATGTATGATCTGTCCTGGGAATGTTTCATGTGCAGTTAAGAAGAGTATATAATCTGCACCTGGTGGGTAGATGTCCCACCAGGAACAACATGGGATTTAAATTCCATGTTTCATTGTTGATTTTCCATCTGGATGATCTGTCCTGATGAAAGTGGGGTGTGGAAGTCCATGCCTATTACTGTATTACAATCTATCTCTCTTAATATCTATTATTTATTGTTGTTATTATTCTATTATTATTTTTTTATTTCGGTATATATATATATATATATATATATATATATTTACAATTGTTGTATCTCTCTGCTATATTTCCCTTCATTTGCCTGTCTGTCTTTAGAGTTTTTGACTTGAAGTCCATCTTATCTGAAAGTATAGCCACTTTTGATTTCTTTTGGTCTCCATTTGCATGGAATATTTTTTTCTAGCTCTTCACTCTCAGTTTATTTGTGTCTTCACTAGTGAAGTGAGCCTCTTGTAGGCAGCATATAGTTGGACCTTGTTTTTATCCATTCTGCCACTCAATGCATTTTCATTGGAGAATTTAATCCATTTACATTGAAAGTAATTATTGATGGGTAAGAATTGATGGGTAAGAATTGATTGTTGCCATTTTGTTCATTGAGTTTTAATTGTCTTGCATATTCCTTCTTCCTTTCTTACTATATGCTTTTTCTTCCAGCAATGTTTTGATTCCTTGATTTTTAATTTTGCTTAAGTTTTTACTTAGAGATTTTTAAGGGAATTAGTAAAAACATCTTATTTCACATTGTGTCATTAAGTCATCTCTTTGCTCCTGAATCTCAGCATAAGTTGTTACAAGTAACAATGAAGCAGGCCTTAATGCTTCGCTGCTTAGTATTTCTTCTCCTGAAATTGTTAGTTCATCCCTCTTAAATTCTGCCTTCCATAAAGCCCTAGGTCATGAACATAGTACATTCAAGTTCTTTGCAACTTTATAGCAATGGCCTCTACTCCACTTTCCAAAAAGATATTCCTCATTTTCATTTGAAACTTTGTCAGAATGGCCTTCACTGTCCACATTTCTATCATCATTCTGGCCATGACCACTTAAGTAATCTCTAAGAAGTTTTAGACTCTCTCTAGTCTCCTGGTCACCTAAGCCCTCACCAGAATTGCTCTTATTAGTCTGTCTATGGAATTGTAAGGCTTTTTCTAGCCTGCTCTTTCAAACTTTTCTAACCTCTTCCCATTATCCAGTTCCAAAGCTACCTCTACATATTCAGCTATTGTTATATGATACTCTACTTCTTGGTTCCAATGTTTCTGTCCATATTCTGTTGCTAATACAGAATACCTGAGGCTGGATGATTTTTAAAGGATTGGGGGGGTTGACTGATAGTCCTGAATTCTGAGAAGTTCAAGAGCATAGTCCCGGAATCTTCTTAGCTTCTGGTGAGATCCTTATAGCAGAAGGACAAGTGAACATACATGGAAGAAGAAAAAGGAGAGAAACTCCCATGACAGCTAACCCATGCCCATGAGAAAATTGTTAATCCATTCATGATGGCTTTGTCCCCATGACCCAAACACCTTTTGCTGAACTTACCTCCCCATGAATTTTAGTAGGGACAGACCATGTTCAAAACATAGCAAAGAAAAATGATAAATATTCTAATATATTATAATAAATGGGAAAATATTTTCCTCATTAAGTTTTATTAGGATATGTTCATTGTACAGGGAAGATTCATGGTGACAATTCCAAATAGGCTTATTCTGTACCTAGATTAGATCGCTCCCCATTGTCTCTCCCCCCACCCCTCCCTGCCCCTCTTAAAACTACTGCAAGAGGATGATATGATCTTATACCTTAAAGACCCAAAAAACTCTACTCAAAAGCTCCTAGACACCATCAACAGCTATAGCAAGGTAGTAGGATATAAAATCAACATAGAAAAATCATTAGCATTCTATACACTAATAATGAACCAAACTGAGAAAGAATATATGAAACA